ATTACATCAGAATCTGAAACACTGACTTGAACAGCGGGCACGATCGGGCTTTCTTGTCCACGGAGTTTGTAGTAAAGACGCCAAGTAAAAGAAGTGTTACAATGTGATCACATTTTGGTTAAAATTATAAAGAGTGCAACCTGATTTGTCTCAATGTTTGGCTGTCGAATAATGCTACATTCATACATCTAACTACCAAATCGAAACACTATTTTTAAAAACCTTGTATAAGGTATATGATAAAACCTTTATGGACTGGATACAGCTCCTGCTGCCCTCGGCCACACAACCTCAGTTTGTTTATAGTAATATAGTTGGAACATAAATATGTCAGAGCTATGGATCCAGAAGCTCATGCTTGACTATGATCAGTGTTCTCCACAATCCAAATTAGCTGGTGGGCGGCCTAATTAGCATATTAATTTGCATATCATTTACATACAGCATTCTCGCATTTATGACATGAACTGCAATACACACTAAGTTATTTACTATTCTCTTTTTAATTTAATTTAATTGAAACATGTTACAATGTTTTGAAATACAAACAGATTGGTCACTATCAATATTTGCGAAATGCAAAAAGTTTGAAATCGGTGATTTATGCGTTCGCAAATTATTCTGCGTTCATGAAATGCAATTCGAGTAACCAAGAGCAAGTACAAAACATAATTGAGTTATAATGTAGAAAATATACGAGATGATTTGCCCACGAAGCCAAAACGGACAATTTGTTAAAACAAAATCCATAACATTTTTATTTGTGGCATCAGTACTCACCCGTGCCGACGGACGGTTAGATGCATTTACGCATGTACGACCACGATACGTTGCGTTTTCACACATTGTTTTGAAATTCAAGAAAAAAATGCTAGCAATCGGCAAAATAAAAGAATCTCATATGTTCTCGAAAGATTAGACATAAAAAATAGATAAATTGAAAAAAGTACGTGGAAAAGATAACTAAAATATTATTCAATTACAAATACTCGCGGTAAACTAATCCAGCAGGCATGTTTGATGTTTATTACCGCTTTCCGAATTCAGTACACGAACACCCAGAATGCGCTGTTCCCCTATGCAACTTAGATACTAAATCGTTACAGCGCCAACAGCGGTGGGTAGCAGACGGTCGTTGAATGGGGTAGGCCAAAAGGTCATCAGTTTGCCTTCTCCATGCTGTTTTCACAATGAAAATCGAGCGAACGTAAATACGGCTAGAATTTAAATTTTTGTTTGAGTTTACATGCAATCTGGTAATATATTTGTTTATTTTCTGTGCATATACATTTCGTTCGTACTTACTTCTTTCTTTCGTGATCGGAAGACGATTATTAAAAATACAGCTGTAAATTGAAACCACTGTAGTTGCGTATCGTGAGCAATAAGTGGCAACAATGTCGGGCAACAATGAATTCAAGCGATTGACACATTGCCATGAATACACTTGATAACTGCTTGCAGACTTCCAATGGACATTGTTTATGTTTGGACTGTTGAAACAATAGCAAAATAAAGGGTTGGGCAACTACCCTTTTGTTTAGGCTTGGGAAGAACAATGCAAGCTTTTTACAAATAATTTCAGCTGGATGTACGTTGGTGGGCGGGTGTTGATATACTGGGCGGCCGTAAAACTTGATGGGCGGGCCGCCCGCCTAAAACCCCTTGTGGAGAACACTGTGTTGTACACACACCCATTGCTATCATGTTTTCTTAGTTAAATTTGTATAGATTAAAGTGCCTGTGAAATGGCTGCTATTTTCACGTCTAAAATTATCAATTGATACATAAATATTATTAATTTTTATGTTTCTAAGCATGAATTATTTTTTTAAGTGAAAAAATGTGTTTTAAACTCAGTCTATGGCAACTTTATTTTTGTGTATTTTAAAACGAGGCTCCTTATTAGCTTCTCATTTGCATACAGAAATTCCCCTTGTGACGTCAGAAGGGGAAGTCGCATGGCAGCTTGCATTGCCAATACGTGTAAATAAGGCAAATTTCTTGTGCAGTTTTCTCGTCTTTGACTATATTGTCGCTTATGTACTTGTTCGTCGAGGAAGAATGGACCATAATGAACACATAGTATCAATTTTTGTTGCATGGGGTTGAGTTAGATGCGAAATATGTCCAATTGTCACCGACACCGGCGCACGTTTGTACACTGTTGCTGGACAAAATAGAATTTGACGTCGGAATTATCTCGTTATTTAGCAGGTTACTAAGCACGTCACTACACTGTTTTATTTCATCGATCGTCTGAGTAAAACTTTCAAAATTAAAATAAAAGAGAACATATTTTGATATTCTAAACATTAGACTATAGTGATCACTATAAAATAATTAAAAAAACGACAAATCACAGTTAAATACTAAATAAATGACAGCCGCGTGGAAATAAATTGACATTTTGTTGAAATAGGTGAACGCGACGGGTCACGGCAAGAGCAAGTGCGTTAAAAGCGGCGTTTAATTGGATAACAAAAATAATCGAGATAGACACACGTACAGATAAATTCAGAGTGGATCCGAGTTAGCTTGATCCATGGCGTGATTGTCATAATTATAACATTGTATTAAAACTTTATTTGGTGGAAACACATTGTCCAAGCCCTGATTCTTATTTCATAAATTATTACGCAGATCAAGCTGCAAGCATGGAGGTAAAAAAAAAAAACAGGTGTGAATTCGATATTCAACACCAATCACCAAACAATTCAGAAACTTTTAGCCTTCGAAAATGAAAACAGTTAGCAGTGTGTAAGGGCTGTGTAATTACCTGTTTGTCCGACGCTTCGTTTTTGTGACACTGTCAAAATTATTGCTACCTTTTACTTAACAGGAACTAAATGGTCTCTATAAAACGATAATCAGGATCGCAAAAAAAGTCAACTGATTTGAAACACTTGCCGGACGTCTCTCTCTCTCTTCTGAAATCCGCCTCGGGGATCATGGGCTGGTCCGGAATCTATTTCTTTCAAAAGTGTTGCGCCAGGTTTAAGGTTAACTGATGTCGCACCTTCGGATCGATTAGAAACGTGTGAATACATACACTATGGCTATACGTTTCACTGCAACTGCCCACAACACAACATCTAAAAACTCTCTCTAAAAAAAAAAAAAAAAAAAAAAAAAAAAAAAAAAAAAAGACAAAAAAAAAATAAAACGCCGACCGAAAAATGTACATCGTTTAAAAGTATACTGAACGACCAGTGTTATTACGGCTCAGGGGTATGACCTCCTCTCACATTTTGTCATTTGGTGGCGCACTTTCGGCGAGAGTCGGAAATCCGGAAACAGTCAACCGTTTCACGATAGGTGGGCGTGGCTACAACACGAGAAATATCCCAAATTTACTTGGATACGAGTAATCATTTTCAGCAAAAAAAAATCAATAACTACCCTTTTCAGTGGGACACAGATCTAAAATGGGAAACGTCGGGGTGGGCATTGCACAGGCACTTTAAGGTTAAAGTTTGTTTCTCACTTCTCTACAGGTATACCTCTAAATGTGGATCATGCTACTGGTATGGAAAAATTGGAAATGGACATGAAAGAGGCTGGGTTAGAGGTTTGTGTTATTTAAATTTGAAGCTTTTTGGATGTCAAGTAAGATGCATAATAAAAAATAATAATGTAAATGCATTAATAATTCACTGGGTTTTAATTTAGCTGTTTTTGCTGATGGGTAAATGCCGCTGAATGTCATATTACAATAGAAAACATTGTTTCAGTGGCAAATTTATGAACTCTCAACCCCCAGTGAATATAATCAAAATAGTGGTTTGGTCTAACAGTAATTATATGTGCAAGTCAGCAATAATTGAAAATTAACAAGCATTTTCACAAATTAATTTGTGATTGATAATCTAGCACCTTTGGGGTCCCATACTTCAGAATTTGTATGGTGAGAATTGTCTTGGCGTATATCGATCAGTATGGTAAAGCTGATAAATGCTGCAGTAGTCTCCCCAGGAAACAAACTGCATGGCAAAATCATTGTCGTCAAGCTAGGATTTCCTCGCTCTTCATAAACGACCATAAACAATAATAACTAATGAAACGGATGTCTAAAGGCTGCGAAGTTTATTTGGGTCGGCATGTACACATTGAAAGTTCTGGTCTATTTGCGCAATTCACTGATCACGCCATAGCTGATGTCAAAAGATTATTGTAATGTTAAAAATTTAAATCGTTAATGAAATTAAGAAAAATGAAAATAGGGAGAAAATGTTAAACATGCTTTTCCATTGTAACTGGTTTATAGGAATCTGTGAAACATCACAAATTCAGTCTGTATGCTACCATACCCGATCACACCACAACTGATGTAAGATTTGAAAACAAAAATGAAAGTACTAATGATTAAAACATCAGTGAAATCAAAAAAATCATTGCAGACTTCATGCAAGGCCCATGAAATTTTGATGTCAAAAAGATCAAACTCCATTATGGCAGGTGACCTTTTGGCCTATCTTATTCACAGACTGTAGCCTATTTGTCGTTGAGGGCACTCTAATCATAATGTTATGTCGAGACAACTGAAATATCACATTCTGGGTACATTTGTATTAATTGAGGTACACAAGCTGCCACATTCTTGTTTAAATTAGCAACCAGCCCCCAAGTCAGGCTGGGCAGAACAAGTTATTCATAATTACTCAGAATTTTGCCAACAATACATTGGAGAATAGTGTGTAAGGTAGGACACTGAAGTCACTTAGAGTTGGACTTGCGTGTCGTGGGACATGAAATACGCAGGCATTTCTAATACAATGAGACTGGCATTTTTTAGAAGTTTTTTACTCAACCTCCAATAAATTCTCAATTACTTGATTTTGTTTTTGTATCAGGACAATAATTCATCTGTCAACAATAACACTTTTCCTTGATTGTTTTTAGGATCCTTTTGATCTGAAAGTCAAAAATGTAGTACCAGGAACCAGGGAGAGTCCAACACTAGTACCTTCAATTTTTGAGAAGCGCATGGTTGGCTGTGTTTGTAAGTAAATCAGTTTTTACTGTAGTCTGTATGCCTACCAATACATTGGCTTGTTTTTATTTTGATTAATTGGAGAATTTCTTGTGTTCTCTAACTCGGCTTGTCTACAAAGATTTCCTGAGCCAGAGAAAAGCTTTGTATATCAGACTGGCTTAATTGCAGAACGCCATATTGTATTTGACAAGCTGTCGAAAATGTTCATGCACACTTCAACCTGATAGACAACTATTAAATTTGACACACAACAGTTTATTATTTTTCTTGTTTTGTCAAAAATGCCAAAAAATCATCTTTTTAGCATATTTTTGACATTATTATTTCTGGCTTAATATTTCCTTTTTTTCTGCCTGTAGGTGAGGAAGAAGCTACCGTAGTCAATTGGATGTGGCTTGAGAAAGGCGGTGTACAGCGCTGTGAATGTGGCCATTTTTTCCAATTAACAGAAGCAGCACCTCTACAGCCTGTACAGAGAGTTTGAATCAGTACTGACAACATCAATCTCAATTGAGTAGATTATATATAAGTCATTATTTTATTGGGTTTCTGGATGGATTTACCGTGTGCAGTTAGCTCTTTATTTCCAGCATGAACTGTTGATCTCAGTGTCACTTCAACCCTTCAACAATAGATTTGCAATCAATTATACACCTTGGATGCAAAGCGTCGCAGAGATCTTGTTGAGAGCTGCAAATAGTGTCTCATGCTCTATCATCACGTTCCCTGCTCCCCAATTACCATGGTTACATGCATGTAGAAAAGGGAAGGCAATCAACCAAAGAGAATGAAACGCTGAGGGGCAGAAACAAATTGAGTGGCTCTCTCACTCTCAACAAGGTCTCTGCTGCTATTTGCATCAAGTTTATTGGGAAACCTCTCAAACATTTTTAAATTTGCTTGGCTTGTTCACTGGTACAATATTGTATTGTACCAGGTTGTCACCATTAAAGACCTCTTCAGTATCAGAAAAGCTTATTCATGCAAACATTTCTGTGGTTATGCTCCAGACATGAAACTGCTCAGATTTCAATTGTATCTGCATCTACTCGCCCTGCTGTCATTTCAAGTGAGATTTGTATTAAGTTAATTCATAATAATTACTGAAGGAGTTTATAAAATTATTAACATTATTCATGAACCTCACAGCCTGATGTCACATTTGTGTTTGGCTGTTGACAGATTTTATGATACTGTGTTTGTAAAATGTAATCTGAATAAAAATTTACCAGATATCAAATGTAACTGGAGTTTCTTTCTGTTAAGTTCTTGGCTAGGTGTTCTGTGACTGTGTGTACTCTTTTGGGTATTGGGCAAAATCAAGATTTAAGGAAAAGGGGGTTGGGTGCCTGCAGTGGGTATGGCATTAACAATGTTCTCTCCAGGTAATTTTAAATACTGGTTTTACCATGCTTGGTCACTAAAATGTAGTATTATAAAAAAAATGGCCATTCTGATGTGCATTATGTCAGCTGCATGTACAACCAGAATCCTCGATTCCATGGTTTGAAAGCATCCAATCTGACTTGCTCCAACATCCATGGGGTGATTGATCTGTGCAGAAATATTAAAATCATTCTTGGCTTTTGAAATGAGGTTAAGCTTATACCCTGAAACGTGCCTTATTTACAGTCACTGTGTTGTACAAACATTTCCGGATAGTTCCACAAAACTGACAAAGGTGAAATTTCAAAACTATGCTGAAGGGCCCAGGAACAGTACTTGGCCAATTTGTGAGCAAGTTTACTAACTTGTTACCCCATTACTAGTAAGAGACATTCTCTAAAGATATTCCATATTTGATTTATTGACATTGGGATATATATTACCTAAGGTAGAAGGGTGCAATTTCAGTGTGCCCAAATGTAACGATCAAATTTATACTCTGATGAATTGCACGAATTCAGAGTCCTCGAATAAATCATTGATGCAACTTGCATTTTTGTTAAATCTGAAATCTTGTGATTTCATTTAAAGCGCGAGGGTTGTCGCCTGCGCACATGTGGGAATTTAGTCCCAAGCGACGATAACGCACGTTAACAAATTCAAACACTCGTGGGTAGACACTTATTTGTAAATGACACGCTATCGTCATCTGACGCATGTGCCGCTGATGACTCCCCCCGCTTAAATGTAGATAATATCAAGGTACTTGATTGATTTCAAATACACTTTTTGACTCGTGTGCGAAGCACAAATAGGGAGTCTTTGCAGTTAGTGTGTCTGTTCCACTTCTATCTCAAGAACCATACATTGGTCTTTGATGAAACTTGGTGCATAGATGGTCTGGGCCAATGCGCAGATTTGATTAGGTTTTGGTAAAAATCCATGCATATTAATCACCTAATTTGCATGATAATTAGCTGATTTTTAGCTGTTCCATGACTGTTCCACTGATATCTAAAGAACCACTCATTGGATTTTGAGAAAACTTGGCACATAGATGCTCTAAACTAATGTGCAGATTTGATCAGTTTTGGGTAAAAATCTGTGCAATATTAATTACCTAATTTGCATAATGATTAATCAATTTTTGGCTTTTCCACTGATATCTCAAGTACTAATCATCACATTTCAATAAAACTTGGCACATATATATCATAGGACACTGCACAGACCTGATAGTTTTTAGGGTAATATCAGTACATAATAATTACCTAATTTGCATAATTAATTAATTTTCAGCTTTTGATATTTCAAGTAGTAATCATCATATTTCAATAAAACTTGGTACACAGATGTCATCAGACACTGCACAGACCTGATAGTTATTAGGGTAACATCAGTACATATTAATTACCTAATTTGCATAATTAATTAGTTTTCAGCTTTTGATATTTCAAGTAGTAATCACCACATTTCAATAAAACTTGGTAGATAGATGTCATAGGACACTGCACAGACCTGATAGTTGTTAGGGTAATATCAGTACATATTAATTACCAAATTTGCATAATTAAATAATTTTTAGCTTTTGATATTTCAAGTAGTAATCATATTTCAATGAAACTTGGTACATAGATGTCATAGGACACTGCACAGACCTGATAGTTATTAGGGTAATATCAGTACATATTAATTACCTAATTTGCATAATTAATTAATTTTCAGCTTTTGATATTTCAAGTAGTAATCATCACATTTCAATGAAACTTGGTACATAGTTACTTAAGGACTGTGCAGAGACCTGATTAGTTTTGGGGTAAATATTTGTGCATATTAATTACCTAATTTGCATAATTAGTTATTTTTTCCATGAATGTTCCACTGATATATAAAGAACCACTAATTGGATGTTAATGAAACTTTTAAAGAGTATTCATCATCACATTTCAATGAACCTTGGACTAAGCAGAGACCCAATTAGTTTTTGGTTTTTGTAAATAGTTATTTATACTTATTAATCATCTAATTAAAATAATTAATTAACACTGATATCTCAATTACTGATCATCTCATTTGAATAAAATTTGGTACATAAATGCTTTAGGACAATAGACGGGCCCGATTAATTTTGGGTTGAAATTTGTTCATATTAATTCTCTATTAATAATTCATAGTTTTTTTTGTTCTAATCACATTTCAATGAAATTTGGTACAAAGATATTACATTACGCAGGCCTTGTTAGTTTTATACTCGTATCTGTTCATATCAGTTACCTGATTAACATAATTAGTTTTCAGCTATTCCATCAATATCTCAAGTAATTTTGAATTAATTTTTAATGTGTCTTCAATACTCTCAGCACACAGGAGTTCTAAGCTTTCTTTGATTTAATTTAGGTTTACAATCAATGGTGTACCAATATTTGCACACAGAATCTTTTACCCCGGTAACAATGTAATACTGAGATGATTGTCACCTACTGTAATGAGGTTTTTAGACTAAAGTGAGTAGCGTGACCTGTGAGGGCGCTTTGACCACAATCTTGGTGCCGTCTCCCTAAAGACATTGCAAGACAAAAATCTTATGACATTATGCTGTGAACAATTATGAAGCAAAATAATGTTCACAGCAATAAAAATTTATATATAATATATAATGTCAACGTTCCAGAAAACCAAATCAAATTCTTAGTTTGGTTCAGAGGGGGATCCAGAATTATATTTTAATTTATTTTATTTTTTTATACATCAAACTAATAATTGGCCATCTCAATAAAAAAGCCATGTAATCTCTATCAGTGTTCATGTACATATAAATTACAGCGTTATTGTTTATGGTCAAAATAAGTAATATTTTAATGAATCAGTATATAGCACATATGATTTTGGGTTTATATACGTTTTTATTGAAGATGCGCTAATGTCACATTGACACGAATAAAAAAAAGTCAAGGTTATAATGTATGGAATGAGGTTTCATATAGTGCTCACTACGCAATAAAACTATTTTATGAGAATGTTTTTTTATCATCGCTTATATGGGATATGGCCGACTGCATGCCACTCACAAAAAGATGACCTGACATAGAAGACTTGGGTAGTATTGGTGTTGAATGGGGGATTGTCACTGAAAGTAGTCTCACCAAAAGCGGAAAGAGTTTTCTAAGGCCCCCACCCCTAACACTCCAGCGCATATTCAATTAAATTGAGGGAGAGGCGAAGTTATGATTTATAGTTGTGGGTGGGAAGGGGGACTAAAAAGCTTATAAAACATAAAACAGCCCAATCTTTAGAAGGTTGTAATATTTAGAAGAACTATTGGAACAGTTCTGGGGTACAAATTTAGATTTTGATTTATTCAGTTGCTAGAGGAATGTGTTATAAAAATGTCATCACGAAGGATTTTCTGAAAAATGGTACTGGTTTGGAGGTTTAGATTTTGATTTATTCAGTTGCTAGAGGAATGCGTTATAAAAATGTCATCACGAAGGATTTTCTGAAAAATGATACTGGTTTGGGGTTTAGATTTTGATTTATTCAGTTGCTAGGGGAATGCGTTATAAAAATGTCATCACGAAAGATTTTCTGAAAAATGATACTGGTTTGGGGGTTTAAAAATTGTTAAAATCAGATAAACCTAATTACCTGCAGTACCTGTATATTAAAACTAGGTACCCTTTGTTTACACAAGTAAAGTTTCTTGAAGAAGACTCAAAGACCGATTCATAAGCCATTCTCCATTGACCCCTTCACAATCTGTGCTCTCTCTGTTATGGGGAAATTAAGAATTTTTGTTCAAAATTAACATTAGTATGTATATGGAAAAAGTTTGGTATTTCTTGCTTTCCCTTCCAGAGTCCATAGCATTAGGAAAATCCTTTGAAAGTCTTTGGATTTTTTGAGGTCTGGAAAGTCTTTGAGTTGTCTTTAAATTACAGGAAAAATAAAAAACCTTTGAAAGGTCTTTACATTTCTTCATAGTTATTAATTCATTTTAGAAAGGCCCATTTTCTCCAGGGAACTAACATATCCTCAGAATTTTGAGCTTTGGTGATGATGTTGGCTCGAATTAAGGGTCAAAATGTCTTAGAAAAAATGCAAAAGAAAGTTTGGGAAAATGTCTGGAAAAGTCTTGGAAATCATTTGGCTCTTGCTATGAACCCTGCTTTCTCAATTATGAATTTTACTAACACTTCAAAAAACCTAGTGAGTTTTTGTTTGATGTAACAATGACATTTTCTAATATGCACATACACCGTACATTCCATTAGTGTTTCTGATTTTTCATCTAACGAACATTAATGTGTGTCCTGCAAAGTCTTCACATTTTTAATTTATGACAAATTATACTCCAATTTGTTCTAAAGTATAGAGTAATGAACAATATTGAAAAATATGATTTCAAACGTATTGCATCTTAAAAATTTTGTTAAAAAAATGTCTTGTCTATTATTGTGATAAGAATATATGTGATATTTCTATTAAAACATATTTATTTCCATAGAATAATTAAATCCATGTCTTGAAATATTATTTCATCAAACACACAAAAAACCAAATCATCATGTTTAGTTAAAGTGGGACGGTGTCACCTGCGTGGAAATTGAGTCCCAAGTGACGATAACAACACACGCTAAAAACGCAAAGGCTCATGGGTAGATGCTTGTTTGTAAACAATGACACGCTATGACCATCTGACGCATGTGCAGGTGACGACTCCCCGCTTTAATTCAGTATAGGTAGTCATAATAGGTGATTTTCCGAACAATTGCGAGATCTCGCGAGATGCATGAAAGACGCGCGTCGAACGTCTGCCGCAAAAATCGAACGATTTGATTTTCAACTAGAATTTTTTTATTTCGCAGCTTACATTGACCGGCCGATCTTGGACAGAGGAATATTGCTTCCGAATACCCTCACTTAATCGAAATTGCCTATCATCAAATGTGGACAGCACATTATTAAGCATGGAAATGTCCCCGAAATACTTTCGCGTTAGTCGAATCCCACGCGATGTTTGACGCGACTACGACGCTATGACCTTTTGTTTGTCCTGTTTTTACGTTCGATTTCACGCATAACGCGTGATTCTCGCAGTGTACGGAAAATGGTCTATTAGAAAATTGTTTCAAGCCTCACATCAAAATAACAGTACATGTATTGATGAAATGAAACAGCAATACTTAATGCCCCGTTTGTTCACAATAGCAGTTCTGTGTTTTCCAGTTGCTACCATGTATGTGACAATGTCTAAATCACAAGCAGAGCAGTTACTACTACAAATTGTTTAATTTCCACTGCTAGAAATGTTCATGATTTCAGAATTGTATGGTTTCATAAAGAAATATATTTTGAGAAATTGCTCACACTGTGTTGTAGGACCCCAACGAAAATTTCACTGCTACAAAATTATCTCCAATGAAATTTTGCAGTTTCAGTAAATAAAAATAAGCAGTTTTAACAGAAATTTGAGTGTTTCAGTTTAGTACTAGTTATGTTGATTTTGTACTGTAGACATACAGGTTGCTGTAGAAACTTGTTTGTAAAATAATATGAATACAGGTATATACAAAATACTGGTTGACATCATTTCCATCATTGCATCTACACTGCACACTCAGTAACATAGCAACCTGACAACTCAAAACACATCTAATATGCACACTGAGATGGAAAAGATGAAGAAAAAGGGAATGTTCAAATCTGCAGGATTATTTAATCCTGTAAAAAAAAGTCTGTGAATTATGTAAAACTCACTCAATTAACAAGCAATTAACAACATCAGAATAGTCATGGGCAATTTCACTGTGTTCCTGAAATACATACAGTCAGCACCAGCATATTTAGTACCCATAAATTTCAGGTATATCATAAAATTCAAAAGTATCACTACAACACTAAAATCCATACACCTAAGTAATGGAGGCTGTGAATTCCTGAAATTAGTTACAATGGTGTAGTTAATTATCATCACTTGAATCGCTCATAATTCATTGCTACCTTTGATTTTTATTATGAAAAATATTTTCACGAATTCTTATAACTGTACAATAAAACTTGTATCGCTTGACCTATGACCCCCAAACTCTATTGTCAATTACATTGAATACATGATGGATTTTGAATATTATTGATTATTATAATCAATTCCGTTTCTGATTTGATCTCTATCTTCTGGTGGTGGAAGTGGTGGTTTGATTCCTTTTCGCCGACGATTTATCATTACATTGTTCTGTAAGAATTAGAGAAAAAATAATCGAAGTTAAATTGAATGATGATTTGCATTCGTGTTTCTAATTTATACTGACTGCTAATTTAAAAAATAGATGTAGAACTGTTAATTGTGTGACTATGATTGCTAACACATTGTTGGGCTAAATATGCCACCCTGAGCAAAGAATAATATAAGGTTATTACGAAAATACCTCAAAGTATGCCTGAAGACGGTACAGCTGGAGTATTGACCAACATGCAGCGGAGGTGGATGCACAGCGTTACTGTCTGAATGCATACTTTGAGGTATTCTCGTATTAACCTCATTATTATACATCTTTTCTTTCGAAGGATACATCATGGGAATGCCAAAATCCAAAAGTTTAGAACAGAATCAGCAAACTTCTTTGTGTGGAGTCCGGCCAAACCCTGATGGCAGCCATGTTTGTTTTTATTATTAGAGAATGCTTACACGCCTAATAACTTGCATTTACTTATGGAAGGATGAAAATACCCCGTAAAATACTGCAAAATTACGGCATGCTGTAACTTATGGCATTACGGTGACAGATGTATAATAATACACAATATCCAAGATTATTGATCTTGGATTTGTTTCAGTAGAATTGTCATATGAAGGCACATTTATGCATGCAGACGTGGGTAAAATGATAGTGAAAAAATTTACACTTGCTGTAATGCCATGAATGTGGAATTGGGAGAAAAAACAATTGATTTTGGATTTTAAAAATATTTTAAAAAGCATTGAAATTAAATGAAATGATTTCATTAGTCACATCTTGGTGAAGTCACCTCAGTGAAATCATCTTAAAACACTCAAACAATACCAATTATTATTTTATTGCTGAATACACATAATGAGCACATTTGTTTGACAAAATTGTATTGTGTATCATGCCATGTACGATGTTGACAAAGTGTTTTCAATGTGTTATGCATGTTGCAACTTGTTGATTGAAATTGTGAAATGAGAGGTTTTTGATGGTACTCTGTTGACATGCAAGATTGCATGATACACAAATCAGCCACATAGTATAGCAACTTGTTATCTGTGCCTTTAGTAATAAAGTTGAATGTTTTATAACTACACAATTTCATACGTCCCGAGTGTTCCATATGTCCTACATAATGATGTACTATCGATGAAATACAAGCATAATTGGTTGAAAATACTATAGCTGCCAGTCGGCCATTTCAAACTAGATTGAAAAAGAAAATGACATGCATCAAAAGCAAACGATTGCATATAGTTTGAAACTAAAACAATTTACAAGCATATACAAGAAACGCAGAAGTGATAGTTTTTAGGTAATGTTAGCACTCAAATAATATTATTTTATCGGTGTACATTTTTACCACCAGATTTTCCCGCCCAATTTTTTCTGCACTTTTTTTCTTATATTTTTCAATATTCCTGGAAACGAACCCTAATTTTGGAGCCGAGAGACAAAATTTGAGTCAACTTTCAGTTTTTACTCAAAATATATGGCTATATTTGTCTCAATCTTTTGAAGACTATAAACAGAACTATTTCGTGAAATTGTTATGAAAAGAGGGAACTGGACAAAATAAGGTTAATTTAATTTGAATTGTTGTTATGATGATTTAATGTTTACATTGAATTTAATAATCATGATTAATAAATATGAATTGAATTACTGATAATACTGGTAATTGAATTCATAATGTATTACATTATGATATTAGTTGTTAATTAGAGTGAATTAAACCTATCCGGCCACAATGTGCAACACTCTCCACACAGATGGTGTTTGCTTCATTTACACGTATCTCTGCCACACATGAATTTGCATAGTGTAGCATGCTGGGAGGAAACGCCCTCTGTGTGGAAGGTGAATGCACTGTGACAAAGACTGTAGACTCTAAAGACTCTATAGTCCTTGCTGTGACCAACAACATGACAAAAAGTCAACTTCCCAATACCGGTACATGTATAATAAACCATAGACCTTAGAAAATGTCTATGAATAAACTAACATAATCTTCTTGTACTTATCACTCACCCAGAATTTTTTACAATTTTTATAAGTTACAAACTCATGATAACATAGATCTCTCTCATAGTTAGTATCACGAAGACATTTATACGACGCATTGGCCTCCTGGAAAAAAAAACAATAAAAGAATATAGATTAATGTTACAATGCACTCTTAGTGGATTGTCATACTATTTGTCAGCGAGGGCTCAGTAACATTGATGACCTCCACACTACCAATTTTTAGATGTTCATGGTTACTCGGTTCAGATCTTTGTGCAGCGTGTTACCGCACAGAATACAGAAACATTTAAAATGGAAGTCAAGGTAATAAAAATATAGATCTTTCATCTTTTTTTTCCCATCAATAATTTGGTAATTATTCAAGCACAAGCAATAATCATAGTTTTGAACTCAAGGTATGAAATTAAAAAATAAAGTTAACAGTTCATTGGACAGGTTGGAGAATAAATGTGCTTACCCTGTCCCTGGCAAGAAATATTAATATATCATTTGAAATAAATATTTTGGTTCATCATACATTTTTCATAGATACATCATAGGCATTTGGGGTTTTTCACACTGGACCAGTTAGTAAAAACTTGATATATTTAGTTACCTGTCCATAGGGACAGCCAATTTCTATATTTACCTGTCCCAGCTAAAAATCTACCATCCTGGGACAGGTGGACAGGTCGTAATTTCAATACCTGGAACTATACACGTCAATTATACGAACAACAACTTAATCAAATAATACTATTTCCATCAATGAACAAGGAGGCAATATGAAAACAAAATTCCCAAAATAATATCTATGTTTAATACATGAATATGCCATACCTCTGTAAATAACTTGAAGTGAATATAGATAACAAAACTAGTAAGAAATGTCAAATTGTTTGTTCAAAAAAGCAATAAAAAAAAAGTTGTATATAATTAAAAAATTTTGCAATATAAAATAAAAAGAAAAATTTTTTTGCACCAACAGACTTAGCAGTGAATGTCGTATAGGGCTCATACCACTAATTGAATTTCCATAGACGATAATGTTAACATATGACGAGATTGCTATATGAAAATGATGAAGAAAGTTAAAAACATGGCTCAAAAATGGGAAATCAACATGCCAGTAATCAACCATATGAAAAACATGTTGGCCTGATTTACAAATATATGTGTTATAGAGGTTTTTAAAAAACTCTTGCAAATCTCAGGTAAACAAGACACACCGACTGTATTTGGATTGCACCAGGAGAAATCACTGGAAAAACACCAAGATTAGAACATCCAAATACACACAGAATAAATCCACAGGTACACAGCCGCTAAGTAGTAAACAAAAGACCACATGTTGGTCTCACCTCTGACCCAGGTGATTACGCCCTCAAACAGGGAGCACCTGACAAAAAAAATATTTAAAAAATTTCCCAGAGTAAATTTATTCAAAGACACTAGAAAAAGAGTGTCTTTGATTTATTCCAACCTTACATAGTTCGGACACTGAGGGCGCTGTGATATCAAATTTCCTTCTCTAACAGTTAATTGAATATAATAATAATATGCCAATTGCTTCGGCCTGCCTAATTTACAAATATCATGTGTTATAGTGGTTTTTAAAAAAACAAGCCATTTTGGAATATAATAAAGTTGCAGCATAAAGAGCCTCAATGAAAATAGAAAACAGATTTGTTTGCTAGTGTTGCCATTACGACTCCCAGGTCAACAAATCGGTCAAGTTCATGAAAAGTGTTTGTTTAATCTATCAAAGAGGAATTTATGGAATTCACTTTTGTGTTTAGAAATGACTTAGAAACTGCCAGTACATAAACAAATACACAGTTTCATAAATGCAGCCATTTAGATACAAATCCGTAAACATTGTGACACTATTTTACCAATTACCACCAGCCTAGTCCACATGTTCCACTATGAATGTGAATATTGACACAGCAACGCTGCATAACCTATAAAAGAAAGCCTAAACATTTGAACTAAAACAGATGTTAAATCTACCATACATTTATATGTACCATTTATATGCATTGATCAGATTAACTGTACTGGAGATTAAAAACTTTGTACACAGGAAGTTGGATTTTCTTTTTTAAGTCTCTGTAGTTGCATATCCCTGTTTTCTAAGGTCTGTGAAATACCAGTAAGTCATGTTTTATTAGTGGTCTGGTATCTGGTTATAACTACAATTGTTGTACGAGCTTCTGTTGGACATGTGCTTCTGACAGAACACAATTAAGTACTGTATGCTGAATCATTCACCTAAGATATATTTTTACCATAATCACACTTCTGTCCTTTCTACAATTTCTAAATTAACAAAGAAATTATAGAAAAAAAAATTTCAAAATAGTGTTAACATTTGAATAATTTGACCTTGAAATTGGGTGCCTGTTATACCGAAGTTCAAAGCCCTGCATATTCTCTCAAGGGCTCATACCACTAATTAGAACTGCATAGACAACAATGTTAGCGATTGGGTGAATTTCTCAAAAGAAAAAAAAAAGGTTACAAAGATCAAAATATTGTTTTAATTTGTTGAAACTACATGTATGTAATAGAATTCTGGCCAGAAAAACACATGTTGGCCAGCTCAAATTCCTACAAAATGGATGTAAACAAAACAAACAGATTTGCCAGTATTTCTACCTTCAATATTCTCAGAAACACAGCCAGTTTGAAAATGTCTAATCAAGAGTTGCCCAGATCCAAGTCATCAGTACCGTTTAATAACAATAAACTAAGCTTATACACACACAAGTTTAACTGCTGATTGACGTATGTCCTCATACATCGCATTTCAGATAAAACATAGTGAAAGAAAACACATTGGCTTACAACAACCACAAGATTTGAGGGCTACATGTATGAACGCTAATAGGCTAATTAGTGGCATCAGACCTTAAGTAATATTTGAGCAATTCTTTGCTGAAAGTCACACCCTTCAGTGATGTAATAGGGTGGAAGGACGGCCATTTATATGACTGACTGATCACCTATATATTCAATAAATGTGAATATATATAATGTGTTTAAGATTTACTACATTCACAGTGATGAACATCTAAACTGAAGTCAAGAAAGGCATGTTATACTTATATTTAACCAAAACAGGTTTTTTTTGGAAATTGTTTTCATTAATTAAAATCTAAATCGGATGATTGGATTGGCTCAGTTAGTACACATTCCAAGGGGTTCTTCCAGACAGGGGAACAGGGCGCAGTGCCCTCATACCCCGGGCTTGTGCCCTCTTACCAAACCTAGAACAGTCAGTAGATTATGATCAGTTATAACAAATATAAGAGTATTACCAATGGTAACAAAGTTGTGCTCCCTCTTTTCCCTTTCCATGCCACCCTCACATATAAAATAGAACGGCTTACAACAGATGCCACTGTGGGACTGAAGTTATACAATGGGTAACTGTTGTTTGAGTTCATCGTACTCGACCGTATTAGAACCCATGCCCGGTCAAGCACCCACCCCCCACTTTTGAGCAATCTTTATATTTGGTAATCGGTTTTATATCATGATACAGCGTGGATATCGACCGCCGTGAATATGTTGTGAATGCGTAGACCGTGGTAACCGTGCGTAAACTACACTTCGACAATGGCCTGTTAATAAAAGTAAAATGCTATAAATATTTCTTGTCGTATTCAGTTTACCTATAAAAAATTGCTAGTTACCATTTTTTTTTTAAAAACCATGTCGTTTATTTGCCAAAATCAATTTCAACAGATCGTACTTCAACATTGATAATTTACTTCTGCATTGCGTTACCAGAAAGTCTTCGGGAATTTCTGAAGAATTGCGTTCGTACAACACAGTATTCTGATTGGTTAATAACAGACTTGACCCATTAGGTCAAAGGACATTGTTAAAAGGTTAAATGCAAATACATCATGGTGGAAAGTGCTTTTTATTGAGAGTTTGCGTACGAACCAACACATTCGTCAGTGGCAATAATGAAGAAGATTTTGACTTCAACTGTGTTCTAACAGACTCTAAAATTTTTAATCTCATAAATTTGGATGGTTTGTAATTAATATTATAATAAAATGTGCATATTTGAACATTTCTGTTCCTTCATTGTTAAGAGTCAATGACGACGCACCTAATTTTATAATTGTATTTTCCCTCAAAGGCGTAATATCCCCTTCAATCTGTCACATGGTGAATTAAAATTGCCATTTGCACTTTTTTCTGAGGGGGGTGCTCGGGTAAGCGCCCACCCGTAAAAAATCACGAATTTATGAGTTGAGGACCCTGGGCACTAACGTGGTTGAGTACGGTATAAAAATTTTGATTTATGAATGTTTCATCAGGTACATGCCTTAGTTGGCCTCAGTGAATATACCCAAATAGAGTTATCGCTCATAGCAACTCCGTTTCAACACTAGCCCAGAGGGTTCTTCCAGACAAGGGAACAGGAGCACAGCGCCCTCATACCCTGGGCTTGCGCCTAGTTATTGAACCTGGAACAGTTAGTAAGTTGTGATAACAAATATAGAGCGTTAATAACCAAAGTTTACCCCCTCATAAATTTGTTCTCTAGAAAAAACCCTGCTAGTCTGTAGAAAAAATAGGTTGTAGGATTCATATATTGGCGTTTCTTATGGATTTAGTTTGTTATAATTGAACAATATACAATGATCCTCCTGTTGATTTTTTATTGTTTCATTAGTGCCCAATGGTGTCATTTACAAATGTTATTCCATTGGCCAACAGAAAAACCTCTTGTTTCAGTTTGAATTGTGAAATTTAAAGATATTCATAAAAATTAACGGAAGGAGTTTGCTGTGTTGACACTATCAACATAAAGTTGTTAACAAAATTCTTATAAAGAGAAAATCTAGAAATCTCATGGACCTAAAATCTGAGGGCTTCATTGAATTGCTGTATATCTGTGACTTTTAGAAGGGGTGTGTATAAATAAAAACTTTGACCAGTCACGTGTGTATTTAGGTATGTATGTAGGTCAGACTCGTCGGTGTATGGAAATAAGGTCAAGAATTCGCCAGGTGAGATTTTCCGATCTCGAACGGTGTGCTGCAACGTTATTCGGAAATATGTGATAGTCTCGGGCCATGTGCACGAACACACCAACACTTTATAGTCCAAAAGCCGACAGGGAGCTAGCACGCCGCAGCTATTGACAAATACATACCGAAAGACAGGGATTGTTCTCTTCATCCAACAGTCTTTTGGCTTTTTTGTTTGGTCCCCTTGCCTTTCTATTTGGTATCCCGGATTCAGGCGGTCCGTCAGATCCCTCGTACGACATATTACTTTGGGTGAATATGGAAATTGTCTAGGTCATCAAGGCTCACTGGGGACAATGACCGATATTTACCGACATGAACTTTGCTTGGTGACTGTCGTGATCTTGCTGTCACTGTGTCACTGGTGCTTTACATATGACGGGAGAAAACTACAGGTGTTTCCCCGTTTACCTTGTACTTGCACGTCGAGCTCCGGCAAATACAAACAACACGTTGTTGAAAATTATAAGATGTCATCAGCGGTTTTCTCAATTACGAGATATTATTTATAATCTGAAACAAGTACCTTTTGCAATTTGGTGCAAAACTACGTCATATATTAGTCAAAATTCACTTCAGGATTGACCGATGGGTGAAATTATCCATCACTGAATGGGGTAGGAATACGTCATTGAATTACCCACAATGCCTTACGTATAAATATCAACATGGCCGACGTTTTGCCGAAAATCATTTAAAAATTCAATGAAAATCAAGAATTACTTTCTGGATCAGCAGCGATATTTCAAAGATCGGCTGTTGCGGTGGAGAGTGGTATAAGGTATGTATTTATTTACTCATATATACCGGGTGACGGCTAGTTTGAGGAAATTCTGTCGAGAAATATGGAATGAAATGATATCTTTTGTGCACACCCTTTTTGTACCTCCTGCATACTTCAACATGACTGCATACATTCCAACGCAATTTCTTAGATTTAGTAACAAATTGCGTTTGTCTGTGTGTTCTGGATGACACCGAAGTATTGCTACTGTTCGTGGCTTGTCATTACGCGTATACGCACAGAATTATTTTGCCGGTGATCGTTTGTGTCGCATTGTCTTCGGAGCTGACTGCAGTCGACATTGGAACTGTCAAAAGATTCGCCACCATCTCTCCGAGACAGCTGGCTTGATCTCGGACAGCAACGCTGAGCTAGCGAGTGATCCCCTCATCGCCATGACAAGCCATCTCTTGATCGCATGTCGCAGTGGAAAACAATCGTGTGATCGCCAAAACTAAACGGATTTAATTGGTTTTGAGTTAATATCTCAACTCGTAAATTTGCGTCTTTTTTTTCGTTTGTAGGCGGACGATCAAAACAATTTTGTAGATGATGCATCGAGTGCAACATTTTTGAATATTTTGGAAGATCACCACTTTTTTTTTGTTGAACATTCGCTCTAATATTTTTTGTTATTTTGTGAACAAAGAAACCGACAAATCGTAATGAAAATGTACGTCTTTGTTATAAATTCATGCAAATAAAAGTTAATTTGCATCACAAAAAAATGAATGAACGAAAGCAATCAAACGCGACTTTTTAATTGAGTCATTGGCATGTCCTACAGTGAACTGAACTTCCATGAAAACCATTGTTTTGTTCCATTTGAAATGTATGTATAATATTATATTTCCCTGTCAGAAATCCAAGTACGCCATTGTACTGCTGTTCTATTAGACCACCAGAACATTTGTTCAGTATATTATTGATTAATTTGTGCTAGATTTGAAAACCACTTTGTCATGCCATTATCCATTTCATTAAATGGACACTTTTTTGATGCAATTCCCATCAATTAAACAATCATAAACACACTCAATGGTATTAAGAATGTTTTTTTTTTTCAGGATTTATGCAATTCACAAAATTTTATTTTTGACATTTAATGTCACATTAATTAAATTGAATTAATAAAGGTTTATATAGGTTAATATGTTAAATATTTCATCGGTGGAAATTATCGAACTATAACGAAATCCCTAAATACAGAAACTGTTTCTCAAATATCCCGCTAGCTATGTAGTTGTACAATTTTGAAATCTTCTGTAATGATGACTATTTATATTTTTTATGTGTCTTTCCTTGACCTTTACCAAGAGTTGCTCACAAATGCTCATCTCCATTGACATTGTTCAGACATGTTGACGATGGTTATTATTTTTTCTTAGTGAAAAAGAAAAAAATGTTAAAGGAAAGCTTTCATTGTAAATAATATTTTTTGCCACTTCTTTTTGACCTGGTATTTTTTATAAATTAATTCCACAATGTGTATGCATTTTACAATCAGTGGGTGGTCAATATAACTGTGCTTGAAAGCAATACTAATAATAATCTAGCCCAGTCAGTGTTTTCATTGCATACATGTACATGTATGATGAAGTTTGAAAAATCTAGGATTTATTTGTTGTTGCCTTTCTGGTCTATTATCTTTGGTAATAACCTTTTCATTCTGTATTTTTGTTTTTCTACAACAGGCCTGTGCAGTTATTCCACTGTAGCCACTGCACCATAATGTCCAAAGACCTTCTTTGTAAGTACACTGCATGAGTGCAATTTTAATACTGTCAATATAATTGTGATTTACACATTACATTTAATTGTATATTTACACATTACATAGTAAACGTATGTATAAATTGAGCCAAGTTGGTGAGACCTGTGACCTCAATTCTTTCAGATTTGTAAACTGGTGAGTGTCAAAAAGTAATTCAACCTCTCCAAAAAAATCATTCATTGTTAGAACCATATACCCTTTGCTAGAATGGATTAATAAATAATATATTCATCTTGAGTTGTCATCTGGCTAATTTCTGAAAATATTCATCCATCCATAGTGTATGTACTGCAAACCAGATGTTGTTATTACAGTAGGATTTGTCTAAGCTGAATCAATACTCGCTAAACTTAAAACTTGTTATCTCAAGTGTGCTCATTTCTAGTTAGGGACTGGCAGAAACTTTTGTACATGGAGATAAAAGTCTGTCTTTAGTTGTCACTTGGGATGTCTTTTTTATTTTCTTCATTGATGATATAACAAAAATTCAGACTAATTTTGAGGTACTTATAATCACCCATACAATTTGCATAGCAGATGTACCACTGGTGCACAAGAACTTGTTTGAGAAACATGTGGAACACCACTTGTTTGTTATTTTTGCCATGATATTTTCTTCTGATTATGGTTATCAGCTTCTCACTTATCCTTCATGAATGAAAGAGTGAGTGAGTGTCTTACTAAGTTTGACCTTGGTATTCCTTGATTCAAGACAGATGGTCTTTGAGTATGTTTGAACCAGCTTGCATTTCAGTAAAACCATTTCCTGCCTCCCTGTGTACAGCTGTTCTGTTCTATTAATGATTTTTTTTTTTTTACAACATCCAGTTGATTGTTCTCATTTGGATTATTTGTTTTGTAAATCAGTGAAAGGTTGTGAGTTTGTGATGAAACACCGATATGTTTACATGTTTTCATATCACATAAAAAGGGATTCTAGCTATAAAATTAATTCTAGGAGTTGCACAGTTATTAACTGATGTGTTATGATAGATGATTCTCTGTTCAACTGTAAGATCTCGCGTAAAAGATGCGCGCTGAACGTCAGTCGCAAAAATCAAACGATTTGATTTTGATCTTAAATTTCTTTATTTCATAGCTCACACCAAAAGACCGATTTTTGACAGGGGAATGTTGCGTTTAAATATCCTTACTTCATCGAAATTGACCATCATCAAATGTGTACAGTACATTATTAAGCATGAAAATACAATGTATCCACCAAAATACCTATGCGTTTGTCAAATCCCATGCGATGCTAGATGCCACTACAACGCTATGACCTTTGTTTGTCCTTTTTTTACAATCATTATCGAGCATAACGCGGTCTTGCAGAACGGAAAATAATCTATTAGTGTGAAAAAACAGACTTTACCTCAAATATCACAAATTTAAAAGTTGAAACAGCTTTCTAAACATTACAGACACATGACTTTAATGATTTGTACAAGTACAAAGTAATATAGCATGTTCCCTTTGAGATAAACATTACATTAATCTAAACCGGTCTTACTACATTATCTACCTTCTGTGCTTCGTCCTTGGAAATAATATATTAATGTGCAAGTTGTGAATGTCTAATAATGGCAGTATGAAATGGCTTTTGTTGATACTCAGTAATTCGTTTTATCCTGAATATTTATTTTGTAAATTTGTTATCAGTAGATTGAAGCCCTAGTTTTTATTTGTGTCTGTACCCCAAGGCCGGAATATGTACTACCATAGTAACTATGATTACTAGGGACAACAATTTTATTTTGTAGAACTAGAAATCAATTCCTGAGATTGCATTGTGGGATATCATTTGCTGTATAGTTTCTGACTGTAATATTATAAGCAGTGCTCTTACTAGAGAACAAATATGTGGGTCAGTTTCGAAAGTACATTGTATGAGACGATTACATAATGTACCCATTCATGTGGAACTTAAGATAGGAACTGTTTTGTTCCCTTTATAATGGAGATAGTGTCTTTAAATGCATGTTCATGAAATGCCTGTTATAAAATAATTTAGTGTCAAATATTTAATATAAATTTGTTTTGTTGAATTTTCATTCATTTATAAATTGCCATTTGTCTCATAAGAGTTGAAAACAATAAATTTAAATATTTTTTTTTCCATTTTCGGTATCCTGATAGCATCAACCCAGGATGATGAAAACATAAAGAAGATTATATTTTCAATTCTTCTTAAGTAAATTTATTGTGAAATAGTCTTTTTTTTTTTAAATCGTTGATCAAATCTTACTCATTCCACTTAACCTAATAGTAATACAAAACGTACAATTATTAGTTAGGTTTTATTGTCACCTACTGATAATTGCTGATTGTTGAAGACAATGGAATGAGATTCTCTATTGTCTTTGGTTGAATGTTCCAAATTAAATCCCAGTGAATATGACTACCCTTCACAAACCAGCATAGTAAATCTGCTAATATTGAACCAAGTGAATAATTCTGTTTTCACATTACATTTATTTCTTCTTAGGATGGTATTGATGTACATCATCATGAATCACCAGGGCTCAAAATAAACTTAAACTTCTTGAAAGTATTGTGGTCTATAAATTTTAAAAAGTCTGTAGTTTCATGGTGGGTACTGCATCAGATTAGTAGAAGCTAAAAGTCTTGCAAAAAAACACAAATAAAATAGATATCACAGTGTTCTCCCCAGAAAAATGTATCAGAGTGGCGGCTAATTTGCATATAATTTACATACCATTAGCATATGTCTGGAGATAAAGAAAACAATAATGAAGGCTTGCATGGATGAAATTGTGTCTTTATTTTTTAACAAAATTATGTAGAAGATTAAATGAATCTGCTGCTGTGTGATTTCTATGTAATGTTGATTCTTCGGACTTTCATGGAAGCCCAGTGGTCTGCAGCTTTTGAGAACGCCGTGATTTTCTTTGCTTCCCACTTCTAATGACATGGCCTTCTTGTGCATCTCCGAGTGTGCGTGTTTATCTATAGCATATTTCGTAATATTTATACATGGCATACAATTCCATACCAAAGAACTATTTCTGGATGTTTTTAAGTTGAATTTTCCACATATGTGACACAGCAATCCTAAAAGATAAGAAATAGGAGCGAATCAATACTTGTATTTAAAAAACATTGTCACGATCAACACGAAAATAAACAAATTGCCGCCATTTTGAAAAGTCGCCAAACTAAAAAAATTGCCACGATAAAATTTACCCTAACTATTTCAAAACACAATACTAGTACCGGTATTACCGGTAGTTATTTGATAAATCGTAGCCAACAATTTTTGAACTTCCAGAAAGAAAGTCGTTTCCAAAAAAATGTTTCGACGATCGGCAAAAAATGAAGCCATACAAAAGTTTACTAAACTAGGTCAAAATACGCTTCCAAGTAAAACACTACAAATAAATACTTTTTTTACCTTTGCCATCGGATGTTTCTCTCAGCCACGTATATTTTGTTGTCCATTGTGCATCAAATCCAGAGTTTATTTTTTTGCACCTTTCGTTGTAACATCATCTTGTACCACTGCCGACAGGGGTACCGGTGACCGCGTTGCTGGTGGGTTTATCGCTCGCAACCAGGGGCCCAGCAGGGCGTTCTACGCGGAACCACGACGTAATATTTCTGCTGTTTGACATCGTTGCTTCTTCCAACCGAATATGCTACTGAGAAAATACTCGCTATTACCTCAATTAAATAGGGCGAAAGTGTTTATTGTCGAAGTACGAAGCTGTATTAGTCGGATGTCCATTGTCTTTGCGTAATTACTGACATGTTTCCATTCACACCTGATTTGGCTCACAGTACCGGACGCTGATGACGCTGACTCACAGATTCGCACGTGTATGTACAAGCTAAAACAAAGAGTAACAGGAAATGCCACAGAGTAGCGGGCAATCTCTCAGAGTAGCGGGCAATCTCTCAGAGTAGCGGCATAAATAATAGAGTAGCGGCCCCGCTACGCTAAAACGCTTTGGGGAGAACACTGTATCACATTGCTTAGTTTGTGTGGGATACCCATGACTTTAAAAACATACCGGTTAATGTAAAAACAAAGTGTACATGTAATTATTTTGTAAATCTCTAATACTCCATTTGAGCTGCTGCATTTGTAAAATGGTCACCCTAGGACAAGAATTGGTAGAGTGTGTGTCTTGCTACTGCTATTTTCAAACTGTAATAATACACTACACTCATATTAGTCACGTATACATTCACTGACTTTTTGTGTGAACCAGGAATAGGAATAATATTTATTTGGGAATATGAAACCAGGGAAGGTTAGTGATGTACATTATTACGGGTAATATATCAACATTTCCACTCATCTTCCACCAAAATATGCAACATTAGGAATGTTTACTTTTTCACTCCAATTCTAATATCTGCTTTTGTGTCAATATCATGTACATACTACCCTATAAATCTGTGTTGTGTGTGTCAGTGATTAGTGCTATGTATTATGAGCTGTCCTGCTGTTTTGGCAATAACAAAGCTCTTTATTTACTCTCTAGATATGCCACCAAAGGCCATAAAATCAAATGTACATCTGTTGTTTGTATTATTGAGTTGTGTTCTCTGGTTTCTTTGGTGAGATCTGCATATAAAAGTGAATTTTTGTGACTTTCCAGAGCTTGTGAATTTTGTTAAAATTCGTTTTTAGATTTTAAAGTATTTAATGATAGCATTGGAAATTGAATGCTATTGTTTCTTGTGTGATTTGACATATAATTATATACCTTGACCTTAATATTCTGGACAGCAGGAATTTGTAAACCAAATGAATCTATGTACAATCATAATGTTCAAAAGTAATCAGCCATGTAGTAAGACTGTACATGTAAAACAGGGGCTGCTGTTATTGTCATGAACTGCTGCTATAATCAATAAACCTTTTACAAAGAAGTTTCAAACAGCTTAAATAGGCAAATTTAATCATCCATATTCTGACACATTGTTGAGAATCAAATTTTGGTGACTGGTGTACTGTATTCTCTCTATTAGTCGCATTTTTCTAATGGATGCTTGCATGAATCCAATATTGCATGGATTGTGCATGCGCTGAATTATGATATATTTTGAGTGACCACTTCTTCTATGTAAAAACGCACTATTTTACTGTAATAGAGCAATTTTGGTACATATTAAAAATTTGCTCATATTTATACAATAAAATGCTCCTTAATAAAAATCAAATAGCAATAAAGAGCTTAGAATTAGTTATAATAATCTTAAAAAATGTTAAAAGCATGGTTTGGATGATGAAAAGTTTTCAGATTGTAAAGTATAAAATATTTAGTAAATATTATTCTAGAAGAGGGATAAGAAACATGCATTTTCTTTGATGTAATATTACATTACTTGTTTTTTCAATCTATATCAAAATTGGGACTAACAGATTTTGTTGTTACAATCTCTGTTTCACTGCACATTGTGTTTTTGTTTAACCTCAGTTACCAGTAATCCAGTTATAAAGTACACGGATTACATGGCAAGATGGTACAGCAAAAATCTATTTTTATTTTTTGTTGTTGTTTGCCTGTGTTTTCTTTCCATCTTTTAGAGATCTGAGTGTAGTTTAAAAATGTGTACATCTGGAAGGATTGTGCTTGACTGCTTGCTTGTCAATAACCTTGTATCATCTAAAAATCTGGTCTTTTGAAATTGCTCAAATCACATTGACCTTGCTTGAAATTATCATTCAATTGACAGTCTACTTTGTGTAAAGGTCAATTGAGGTCAGCATGGCTAACATTTTTTGACATATGAGAGATGAGAAAAATGTATTTATTGTTCATGTAAGGTCATATTCAGTTTGAATTGTCCCTGTCTACAAAAAGAAATCTGCTTTTAATTTTTCTTTTATTGAAACAATCATGTGTAAGCATTTATGGTGTCTATTTTAGAAGCAAAACTGGTATTTATAAGTGCTTATTTAGCCTAAAATAAACATTAAAGGTCATAGGGGTGATTGAAAAATGCACTGTTTTCTATCAACAGTAGAAAATTGCTTGTGCTGATAGGTCATTGATATCCATGATGGTGATTTATACATGTGTTTATACACAAGTTTAATCTAACTGCCATTCATGCCCAACTCTGGATTAACAGTTTAATCTGTTCATAGAACTAAATCCACACTAGAAACCCATTTGAACAACACTGATTGATAGTACTGGTAAGTTTGAGATCACTGACTGTTCTGGGGTCATAGGTCGGCTGGCTGTGGATGTAGCTTGCAATGTGTTTCCTGTCAAACAGTGTTTGAATACACATGTAGTAGATATGTGGTCAAATTGCATTAATGTCTTTCATATTCAGTTTGCTTCTTTCAAATAATTCATAAAACTCACTGGTGAACAAAAACCGTGAACATGATCCGAATTGAGATGAATTTAAATCTCAGCATGTGCTAAAAGCCACTTGATGCAGACGAACATTCATGTGTCTGAACTCATTTAGTGCTCAGAAACAAACACCTAGCAAGTATGATAATTGAAAAACAGATTGAAAATGAGGAAACAAAATTACTGATACATCCTGTTACCTGATACTAAAATGTATTAATTGTAGAAAAATATTGATGCAAATATTGTCTCACCATGTGAGTAGCATTCTACCTTAAGTGTACATGTTCATGATGACTCCCTGACTTCGGAAAATGCTCATTGCTTCTATATTTCCCCAAGATTCATAGGAGTTCTTCTCACCGGTTAAAATAGTTTATTTTACATATTGCCAATCGCAGCAGAAATAATTTTTAGGCCAAATAAAAATAAGATACATATGTATGTGTGTTTAGTAATCCTACCCTAGATTGTTTTGGGGGGCAAATTTGAAAATGACCATTGGATTTGGAAGCTTCTTACTTCCTCACAAAGTATTCACTTAAAAATGTCAGCTAATACACGTAGATCATCATGTAATATGAAAATGTTATTTGCTGAATGCTCCTGTATAACAGTATGGACCAGACATGCCCCACAGCATCCTGCCAGGGTTCTAGTCAGAAAATGAAATGTGTATGTCTAAAACTATAATACTGTGAAAGATAGAAGTTGCTAGTCAGTATCAACAGACTGTATTGGTATATTTTTTTTTTGATTATTTTGTAAATTACAGAAAGTATTCTCTCAAAACTGGACAGGTTTGTAGAAATTTAGCCTGTCAAATAAAATGTTCCTGTTTAAAATGTGAAGTGGAAAAAATATCTATTTTATTTTGTCTTATTTAAAACTACAGTATTCAAAGTAAATACTAGCACAATTTAACCGAAATTTTGTTTAAATAAATTATTATCGTATATGCTCTATTTAAAGCACATTCCTAATAGAAGCATATATAAACTGAAAATTGGATTTATTATATATGCTTGATTTAATTTAACCATAGAAACACCTGTCATTTACCCAAGCTGTATTTGTTTTATTTGTAACACATGCCCTATAGGTAAATGACAGGTAAAATTTATGGGTTGTGGTTTATGTGCACTTTATTAGAGATGCGCTTATAATAAAGCAGCTATGGTCAACAATATATTATACCAGTACATGCAAATGTCAGTAATGGAAAAATCATTTATTTAAGAAAAGCCCTGGCATTTCGTAGATACCCGTAAATTATTCAAGATATTATATGTGAACTTTTAATTATATTTATTTATTTATTTTTCTTGCAGGGTGTGAGGACTGTGCAAAATGCCACCCAGGAGAATGTACCACACATGGTCCACTGATTCGTGTAAAAGATAAAGTTATACCCAGCCACGCCAGGCTTACCATACCACACTACTTAGCACTTAAAGAAATAGAACTTAGAGCAGGCAATCAACAAAGTGAGTATGAAAAAGCCTTTTTATATTCATTTTCCTATGTACTGTACTTCAGTTCTTGTGTTCCATATCGCCTGGGATTCCTTCTCCCCAAATAAAAGTCGATTACAATGTATTATTGCTTTTTTTTTTCCTTCCATTTTGCTAAATTAGCATTAACCAACTTTCAGTCCGACATTACAAATTCGAATTACAGATTATATTTTTTCTTACTATACCCTAATTTTCATATACGTGTACTTATAAGGAAATCATATTTCTAAGCACGTCTACGTATTTGCATTGTGTTTTCCCCAACACAATACATACTGCAGTGTTTGACTTGTCTGTGTGCTCAGTTGTGTCAAATGTCTACATTGTCTTCTCTGCCCATGAGTTCATATTTTCTCATGTTTAATTTTTCAAGATGTGTAGATCCTTCCTGCATCTACTCGCTTTGCAAATACTAGTAGATTACAATATTAATTATTGGATGATTTAATTATTGATTGTTTATGAATGATCACCTTCCGAATAAAAATATGCTGTCAAGAGGCAGATATATGTATGTGCATCAAAGCTTGCATGTGGTCAAGGTCATGTGCACACTGCTTCATTATTGATATTAAATTTAATCAGCTGAGTTGCATTTCTAAAATTATATAAAGTATTTTTGTAAATTGTTCGCATTATTCTGGTGTTCTCAACTGAGTATATACTGGCCTGATTTTTTTTTTCTCGCTGTATTCTGACAAGAGCTGACGATCATTTGTCATATAAATGAAGGATATCAGCTTCTCGTGTATAATTTCTATGCGTTTTATTTTGTTGACGCAGCGTCGTATTGTTTGATTTTCTCATTTTGGCCAGTTCTATAGTGAACTGTGGTTGCAATTACGACTCCTAGCGTGTGGATTTGAATCCCTCCATTCAGTGATGATGAATGCAATTGTGGAGAGGTGTGAAACAAATTGCCGATATGTCATGCTTGAAGACAGCTTTCAAGTAGTCAATGATTTCTTTTGGGAAAATTGTAACTACATCAATACTACGCGTGTCCTTGAGATGTTACGTAATTTATAGATCCAGTCAAAGAACTGACATTTAAAATTTTGAGATGTGACGTATTTATTACAACAATGGCTCTTTTTCATCCCATGATGTTACAGTGAAACGTGACTGCTATTATCTCGCTAAAATATTCACAAAGCTGTCATAGTTTTTTATCATGCGCATTTCAGGAACTGTCACAATATTCTAGTGTTACATAATTAATAGCTTTTTCAATTATTGAATTAAATTCACTTTAGGTTAAACATTCACATAATTTTATTGGAATCCTACTTTTTTCTCTAATATAATTGACAGTTTTGAAAAATCGCCTCGAGAATAATTTAGATTTTGTAAAAATAAAATTGAATATTGCTTATTTAACTGTGAGGTTGAGGTAGTTGATAGTTATGTCTACCAGTAGTTAGTAGAAAAATTCTCAAATACTAAAGCAATAGCAGTCTAAATCTTTTTTAATGTTAAAGTTGAGATCTGACTTGTCGAAATTTGTGCTGAAGAAAAACATAGATTTTAATAAATTATAAAATCTTTAAAATGAAATCAATTTAGCAATTGCATACACGCCTGTTTGGTACATTATTAATTGTATCACAGTCACAGCAGATTTCCATTCTTTCTTTAAAAAGCATACAGGATGGATGAATTCAACATCGAAGCATCATTCACTTGGAAGCAAGTGTTACGACAAACACCTGATCCTTTTGTGTCAGATTTTCCAACTTACCATAAACCTGTTTTCATACAACGTAAATCCATATAAACTAGATCTGATATTAAAAGGTTAAAAACATGTACCCAGAACTCAGAAGGTCACTTAAAAATGAAAGTTTTGTTCCAGCCCCCAGAGAGTTTAAAGTGACTTCCATGCAAATCATGATCCTGATAGTTTTCAAGGTAAATTTTTGAATACTTACATGTGTTGGGTCACAAGGGGTCACCAAAGATCAAGAAGTACAAATTCGTATTCATAAGTATAATGAATCATGACATTACAATGTACATATAGATTGAAAATAACAGAAAGCTAGGATAGGATAGGATCAATAAATATAATACAAATAAAATTGGTGAATAGTTATTATAATCTTAAATTATGGTAATGGTTCTTTATCAATCGAACCACTGTCCAAAATGTCTGATCACTGTAAAATCATGATTTATTTTCACAAACATTTAATTTCTCTATTTTGATGTTTTGAGCATACTGTAAAATACTTTGTTTTCGGTGAAGGGATGATTCAGTGAAAATAAAATCCAGTGAATATATCGTTGTTCCTATATTTTGGATACAATTCATTAAAAATCAGTGAAAATAAACTCCATGCAAATCAGCCAAAAGATAATTTCAGCGAAAATTAATTCCAGCTAAAATAAAGTACTGTGAAACATGTTGAAAAAGCGGCATGCAATTTTAGCAAATTGTGGTAAAATAACGTAATAGCAAAATGTTGATTTAGCAAATCTCTCTTGTCATTGTTGATTTCTTTGTTTGGCGGCCATTTTGAATTGATAATAAAGTCATTAGTGACGTCTTGAATTAGCGAATCAGTTCTCTTACTACATTCGCGAAAAAGACATGTTTTACAGTATTTTACAGTATTTGAACCAGTGAAACATTGAGTTCTGTTTGTTTTTTTCATGTTTAAGCGGATTATACTCATCTGCCAAAATAGGGAAATCAAAACTCAGTAAATAATGCATTTACAGTATATTGTAATACAACAATTACCAATTTTCAGAATATATCTTGAAAAGAATACTGACAATAAAAATATAATAATCTTATCACCTCACAGCATAATAATTATATATAGTTCCTTGATATTTTCATGTTGATGTAGCAAACACAAGTGATTACTGCCAGAGTGTTGTTTCAATCTGAGCCATTGAAAATATCATGAGGTTATTTATCTATTTAATTATTAGCTCCGCTGTCGACTTTGTCGAGCGGAGCTTATCATATGAGTGATTGTCCGTCGTCGTCCGTGTCAATGTTTTACTTTCTTGACTTCTTCTTGAAAACTACAAGCCTGAATGCTTGGATACTTCGTGTATATGTACCTTGGGTAGACCTCTCTCAGGTTTGTTCATTTCGTGATGATATCTTTAATTCTCTAATTTTGGTGAATATTTTTGTCATTTTTGGTAAAAAGTGATATTTTTGACTTCTTGTTAAAAACCGCAAGTCCAATTGCTTTGATATTATATATATTGGTACTACATGTGGACCTCTCTTAGGTTTGTTCATTTTGTGATGATATCTTTAATTCTCTAATTTTGGTGAATATTTTTGTCATTTTTGGTAAAAAGTGATATTTTCAACTTCTTGTTAAAAACCGCAAGTCCAATTGCTTTGATATTATATATATTGGTACTACATGTGGACCTCTCTTAGGTTTGTTCATTTTGTGATGATATCTTTAATTCTCTAATTTTGGTGAATATTTTTGTCATTTTTGGTAAAAAGTGATATTTTCGACTTCTTGTTAAAAACTGTAAGTCCGATTGCTTTGATACTATACATATTGTTCATTTTCTAATGATGTCTTCAGTTCTTTAATTGAAATGTGCATTGCTAACAGCGGAGCTATCTCAGCCGATAGGCTGCTTGTTTATTTATTTATTACATTTTTACGTCATAAAAAGTGAAGCGATAGTGTTGAAAGTGGAACTACATGTATTGTCTGGTACATGTAATACTAAATCAGTAAATTTTAACCATAGACACACCTCTGTCATTTCTATGTCCGCGCATACACTGCTAATAAAGCAAATAACCACACAAATGGGTTAATTTAATCTGATGTTTGTTCACTCAATGCAACATAATATTTCAACGTTTAAATACATAAATGAGTCACATGACTGCGCTCTTGCAAGCTAAATTACACAATACAAATGTAGTTTACTCTCCCCAACCCAGGTCCGTCAAAATTCAGAGGGAAGCATTACTACAATCAACTAAATGTGAAAACAAAAAAAACACTTAAAGTAGAAGGTTTATTCCTGCACAAAAGGAATGAATAAACACCATTCAAACAACACGGCATTTTGACATTTAAAATGTTTTTAAATATTCATCGTATGATTATTATAAGCAGTGGTTCTGCTGAATCGACAGGAGAGGGATTATTGTTTTGTAATAACTAATTTAATCTCTCATTTTCTTTATTTATAAAATACCAACCACCCTATGCACCACCTACTCATGAGCATCCATTTACATTTTAAAAAAAAAATCCATGTAGTCACTCAAGTGTCGACCTTCAACCCTATTATTTCTCGTTTGATGTAATATTGAAGTTTGTACATTGCTACTTCCTGTAGTAAATCATAAGTAAACCTGTTCTGTGTTTGATGCTATAATTGTATAATTTACATCACGCACCCCATTACAGTTACCTTCTATATTCATCGCCTCCATAGATTATGGATTTTCAGCCATCAGATACTTCAGCTACTAATATATTTATACTGAAATTATGATTTCTGTTTTACTTGAGCATTTTAGTGTACCATTTTCAAGATTTATGCAGAGTTCCTATTTTTTACCTTATTTTTTGATGTAGTTGTATTTTATGGCATTTTAATAGACTAATTTTAGAGTTCTCTCGTTGCTATGCGATTTCATGATAAAAAGGGGGGTGATTTTATGATCAGTTCCCCATAAAACTGATTGCTGCTGTTTCTGCAATCTTTCCGGTTATAAAGCTCCACGGCGTTTCCCCTCCACATCCCAGGAATGTATGTATGTATGGATACCGATAATAAAAATTCATCAATTCTGTGATTTAATGATTATTAAATAGACTTTTTTCATATTATACGAACATTTCATAATCTTCCTATTAGTAATATTGTTATTCAAAGACTAGCATCTGGATGACTATAATAAAACCTACTCTGTACGGAGCATACAGACTTTATACGTACAGCTCTCCCCTGTACACTGTATCTTTACATATATTACCGTAATGCAAAGTCTGCTTTACAAATTGTAATGTTTAAGTGTTTGAGTTCAGTTTTATCATTGAAACAAGCCTCTCTTAATCTAGTTAGATGAGTGGATGAATTGAACAAATATCCGGTTCATTTAATAGTTCATTTAATATCCTTGTTAATTGCGTATTTTAAAGGTCAGTTTTGCTGTCTTTGACAAATGTGACTGGTCAGGTCACAAAATAATACATATATTGGATTTTATTTTCTTATGTACAAAGTTTGTCTTTATTTTTTGCTACGTGTGTGTGTGTGTGTGTGTGTGTGTGTGTGTGTGTGTGTGTGTGGTTTGCTGCTATTGACGCGGAAATAATTTCCCTGTCTTTTAGAAGCCTATCGGTACTCAAAAATAAAAATTCCACATTTGCTATATAAGAAGCACTTACGTTGTCCCGAAAGCTTATTTCTGTATACAGTATTTACTCTATTAGAAGAGCATCTCCAATAAAAAGCACACATAAAGCTGGCTTTCCCTTTTCATAGAACATATAATTTTTAAAGCGAGTTCTCATTCGTTAATTTCAACTTATTCCTTAAAGCATTTATCTATGTTACTGATATGAAACATACTCAAGCATATAATTAGCTCCCTTGTTGACTTTTGACGAAGTCGAGCAGAGCAAATCATATTACTGATGGACCTGCGTCTGTCTCAACTTCTTACATTTTTTACTTTTTCTTGAAAACCGCAAGTCCTATTGCTTTGATACTTGGTTTATATGTACCTTGAGTGGACCTCTCTGAGATTTGTTCTTTTCGTCATGATATCTTTAATTTTAATTCTCTGATTTTGAGGAATATTTTTGTCCTTTTTGGTAAAAAGTGGTATTTTAATGTACAGTGCTCATCGGTGTACCAAAATGCAAGGTTCAAATTAATTTTAACCTACAGTTGAAAAAAGAGAGATTAACCTGGTGTATGATTGGCCACACAACCAAACACCTTACAGTCAATCCAATCAGAAAGCAGCTTATTTGATCAATAGGTTCTTTGAACCAATCAAATGATGTCTTGTATAAATGCTTAAACTCAACTGCAGAACTAGATTTTTTTTCTGCGGATAATAAATATCTACAATGAGTTGGCCCTATGCTTGCCAGCATGTGTGCCTATCCAAGTCAGTTATTGAATGTTTACATATAAACAACATATGCAGATTTTGTTGTTGTAATATCTATCTTCAATTTTTATGTTACAATATTTCTTTAAATGGTAGTTGCATTGGTATTTTACCTATGTAGAATCGTTCTAAATAACTGAATTTTCAACTATAAATCCATATTGCTGAATTATCATCTCGCTAACTCACATTGGATTAAAATCAGATGTTGATACAGTATAATTGTTACCGGGTAGTCATCATTTTCATAAAAAAACATTCACTTTGTGATTTGGAATAATGGTACAGGATTTTTGATGATCAATAATGAAATGTGAAAATAAATGTATATCATTTTAACCACAACAAAGGAACAGGCAGTTTTTTTCATGAGTGGTGTTCCTTTTGATTGTACATCAACTTCTGTGGATAAACACACAGAAAAAAAATGATGAATATCGATCATGCGTAATAGATAATACAAACCTTTTGATGATGATGATGATGATGACCCTTGACATTTGACCTTTGAATCTTTAACATTTAGCTCCAAGGTGTTGATTGTTGAACATGTATGTTGAAAACAAATCAGCATGTTGAATGTTACTTGATTGAAATTTTGGTTTCTTTGAATTATTTAAACGAGTATCTTTTCACATTCATTATTACCCAGAAGGCATTGTATTAGATTTCCTTGCGGTATAGTTTCATTTTACATTTTCACTTGCAGCTGTATGTATACATTAGACATTAAAGACATTCAATATGAAAATGTAATTCCTTGTGCTGTTATTTACTCTCTTTATTTGATTATTTTTCACTGAAAGAAATTTTCTTGATTTGACGATTTTATGGTGTTCGTAATTAGAAATTTTTGCAAAAGTCGCTGACACCCTGTGTCATACAACTGCTACAATGCTACAAAATTTCACGATTATCACTGACTTGGAAAAATCATGAAAATGTGAAATTGTACAGTCTTTTAGGCATTTTACAGTATTTTACACTGAAAAAAATTATACCAGAATGCTTATTGTATGATAGGTTGACAATATCATTTACCAATTAATGTTGCAGATCCTTTGCTATTCACTTAATGGGGTATCCAAATTTAGAATTAATCTTAATAGTCAATGTGCTATATATAAATACCACTGGAAGGTATTTTTATTCATTGAATGTCAAACGTTGCATAACACCTTTCACAAAATTGTGAAACTGACCTGTAGGCAATGAAAGATTACTGTAAACTGCTATAATTTTGCAGAAGAAATATCACAAAATTTTGTAATGCCCACTCAGTGTAAATTTCTATAGGGTCAAACAGTCTTTGGTGTCAGTGATTGCCACATATTTTTGCTTTCATGAAAGCTTTAAAAACGTGAATTCACAAAAATATTCTAGCAGCGAAAATTAAACTCATACATGTATGAGTAGTGTTTGCGCCTTGAAGAATTCCCAGGGAATAATGTTGATACAAACAGTATTCTGATTGGTTAATAATTTTCTTAATCTGGCCTATGATGAACTAAAATTATTATTTGTATGTTCTTTCAAAAGGGTTGTTCGACTAAGCGCCCCCCCCAAAAAAAAACACATAATTTTTAGAGTTGAGTACCCTTGGCGGAAGAGGATGATATCTCCATTTTGTCCATATTATTACCGCATCAAGTTTGTTGTTGGTCACATGGTACATGAACACAACATGATTACTTGGTGACTGTCATTTTAAGTTGATAAATGATTATTTTAAAATTCAGTTAGTAAAAATGAGAACGTTTTGTACTGATTTAATTTCATGAGAGACTAATTTTCACGAGTTGAGGAACGAATCAGGACATTTTGACAGGAAATGACCTGTATAAAATATTTTTATATATCCTTGAATTATCAATATATGCAAAGCCCTGGCGATTTACAGCATTCATTCTCCTATAAGCTAGAAAACCGATTCTGGGTCCACTTGGGAATGTCAACATTTGCATGGCGTTGTAAGACATGAATGCATTAAGTGGTTCTTTCTTTTGTTGTATTTCTGGTTGTATTTCTTTTGGCTCATTGGAGTCACCAAGATAATGGTTATGATTGGATCATTTCAGTGTAGAATACTTTGAGATCAATCAAGTAGTTGCTCAGATCTCAGACTTTTGATAAGCAGATCAAACATGGATTATTTAACAAACTAACTTTTAAAATGTAAAGCCTAATATTAAAGATCATACTGTATTTCCTCTATTAGAAGAGCAGCTCCAATAGAAGCGCATGTATACCAAAAATCACATTTTAAAATATGAAATAAAACACACACTTTACATAAAGCTCATGCGCTACTAATAAGAGCAACTTGGGTATTATTGTTCATGCCTCTAGGATCAATCATAGCGGGTAACTTTCCTTTTCTCTGATAACTTCTATTCTGTTTTAGTTTTAGGTATTTATGCCAGGAAATTAATTCAGAAAAGGACCCAATTTGGTCCCTTCTTAGCGCCGAGGATAGCGAAATACGAAAGGAGATATGACAACACTAAGTTGCAATTCAAGGTAAGACCTGTGTTTTTTTTTTTTTGTTTTTTTTTATAAAAGACTTGTGGCAGCATCCCTGCAGTGAGAGGCAATCAAGCACTGATTGGATAATAATACCTGATAGTTGTATCTTTTCTGGGTTCTATACCAACATAATGAATACAGTACTCAAATACATTCAGAGGGGAGTCTGTGGCCTTGACAGAAAAGTAATGATTAAATCAGTACTTATTGGAATAATGCTAAAAATCAGTAATGGTTGTCAAGTGGTTTTGTCCATTAAGGAGATGTCTAGATCGCTGGTAAAATGCGTTTCAGGAATACTCAGCATGTAATTATTTTCCATGCCTACAGACGTACATCTCATTTTATAATCAGTTGCGAGAATCTTTGGACTCGTACATACTGCATGGCATAGTTGTACATGCATGGTAGAGAAATACAGTGTAATTTACTTTTCTTTCAGTGTGAGATTACATTATTACCTTAATTGGTTGTACATGTATGTGCTTTTTTGAAATCTAAACAATTGTTATTACCTTTATTTATACAATAACAGATTCCATTTAAGGCAGAGGATGTTTACTTAAATAATGGAAAAATATTTTAATAAATGTAAAAATTATGAAGTGGCGTGCAGGGGTCATCAGACTTGCTTGTATTTCATTTGTGTGTGAAATGTTACGAGCAAACAACATAAGAAAACACGTTCGAAAATAATTTTCTATATTTAAATGACCTGAATTTCAATTGAAAGAACTTGTAGTGTGTTATTTAAACAAATGTAGAAAAAATAATGAATATTCTCATTCATACAAAATTTTTTTTGCCTATTAATGCATTGACCTCGTAACAAGGAACTGTATCATAGTACACATTATATTGTGTTATATTTAGAATGGATATGTCATTTGGTGTTCTATGAACTGGAAAAACTTTACGAAAATTATCAATGAAATGCTACTATATCATGTGAGTTCAAGGTAGCGGGGTACACGTGTTTTAAAAATTGTAGTATAGGAGAACATGACTGGTCATTTGTTTGCGACAAGATGTTATGAACAACCATTTCTGGCATTGCCTTCATCCTATATTTCTGAACTCTCCACAGTTTGTTTGCAAGTTATTAAAATAAGAAGAGTTTGTCTTGGATTTGTTATTTGCATTCTTATTATAAATCAATTCCAGTTATATGTCTGTGATCTTAACTTAGACAAATATTGATTTAAGAAATCTAATAAATTCAGAGTCAAGGATTTCGATTTTTGAATTATCGCAATCTTCGAAAAATAGATGTCAGTGTGATCTGGCACCAAGAAGAGTACCCAAATTGGTCAGTTATCTTGTCTAACCCTGCCAGGCCATCAGTCTTGCTGGTTGCGTCAATAAATTGTTTCTTCGGACCATGCCCCAGCATTGATGTGATGTGACACCCCCCCCCCCCCTAGTACGGGTACGAGGGCATCAGTCTTGTTAACAAAAAATAGTTTACTGCCATGACTGATGACTGACTCTCATTGTTGTCATTTTTTTAACAGATCTTCCAGAATGGTATGGAACCATTAATACTAGACACTTCCAGTGAATCTTCTTGTAACTGGATGATGTTTGTCAGACCAGCTTCCAGTTTTGAAGACCAGAATGTTGTAGCTTATCAACATAAAAATGACATTTACTTTACAACAATTAAGGTAGGTGCAACAATAATCAAAACATATCCACGTTGACATGTGCTCTATTTTGTTTGGTCATTGAACTTTGAGCCTTGTGATAAACTTTTGGAATGAGATATGAGGTCATAGGGCTTCTAGTGAAATAGCTATAAAAGTTGGCTTATTGTACTAAATTATTTAATCAGCTTGTTTGTTGCAGAGATTTTCTGTCAGATTTTGGTATTATTGGTCTGTGTGTGTTCTAACAACACTAACCAACTGGTGTTTGTTTTCTTCTGTAGCCTATCCCTCCACACTGCGAATTGAAAGTCTGGTATGCAACTGAGTACTCTAGATACATGTGTATAGATACACTGGACAAATCTTGCTGTAAGTATTAACTCCAGTCATACATCCTCCTTCAGCACAGCTTTCCTCTTGGTAAGCAGTGTAATTTGACCATAGCTTAAATTATAGCTAGCTTAAAAACTTTGCTTGCTAAAATACACACGACAATACACACTCTAGAAATTGTATTTTTTTGTAGAATAGCTTAGAGCCACCTTGGAAAGTAAAGTTATGCTTGAGCTCTCCTGTAATTCGACCATACAATGACTTGGTTGATGGATTTAATATTGCTTCAATTTTTCACGAGGCACATTTTCACAACTTTTACAACATTTTGTCACTTTTGGAATTGCATATCCTGCATGCTTTTGGGTAGTTACCGTACTTATCCGGGTAAGAGCCCATGCCTGGGCAAAGGCCCACCCCCCACTTTTGACACAATAAAGGAGTTGAGGTCAAGGGGTCTTTTTCTACACAAAAAAAAAAAAAAACTATTTTCTATTCGTTGACTGTGGTTGTATTAACACTAACACTAACAGTTGGCTTTCTTGAAGACTGTCGTGATACTTATAAATATTGTTAATTGCGTAAAACAAGGGGTGAACGCAAAATAGCTGTGACAGCTTTCTGCCTTCAGGGCAGCGCGTTCTGAATCTAACAGTCAGCAAGTTTATAAAAATATATATTAAAGCAGAAACGGTAGTTCTCTTTTTGAAATATGTCGTGGCCCTAAAAATGGCTGGCCGTTTGGGTTGTGCTTCCTTAGAAACGATTCAGGCAAATCGTATAAGGAGAGCCACAAGTGTCGCACTCGTTCGGCTTTAGCGCCGTCGACAATGAAACCAATGTTGCAATATTGTAGCAACCCGTACCTGGGAGAGTGGTTGAAATCACGTTATTTTGGCTTTATAAAATATTTTGTAGCAGCTTGCGAATTAATAACTGGGGTCAGCAATTTTGCAATGTTTGCCTGCCAACTTTTTTACCATCTTTCATCACCGTCATAAAAACATTCTTCTGTCGTTGGATAAAAAAAAAACTTCCTATTTCAAGTTCACCGCGATATCCATATAGTGAGACATTCCTACCGCCGGAACTTGCTGAATGATAACTTTCACCATGATTAATAAGCGTCGAGTCTGATAAAAAAGCAATGTCACGATTTGACCTTTATGATGAAATACTACTAGTGATGTCATTCTTAGCCAATCAGTAAAGCAGATGCATAAAGGTCAAAGATGATTGCTAGACTGTAAACAAAAGCTTCGTGTGCCATCGCAGCAGAGCGACTCCATTTTTCTTGTCTCTTTATTAGCTCCGCTGTCGACTTTGTCGAGCGGAGCTTATCATATGAGTGATTGTCCGTCGTCGTCCGTGTCAATGTTTTACTTTTTCGACTTCTTCTTGAAAACTACAAGCCTGAATGCTTTGATACTTGGTGTATATGTACCTTGGGTAGACCTCTCTTAGGTTTGTTCATTTCATGTTGATATCTTCAATTCTCTAATTTTGGTGAATATTTTTGTAATTTTTGGTAAAAAGTGATATTTTCGACTTCTTGTTAAAAACCGCAAGTGCAATTGCTTTGATATTACATATATAGGTACTACATGTGGACCTCTCTCAGATTTGTTCATTTTGTAATGATATCTTTAATTCTCTAATTTTGGTGAATATTTTTGTCATTTTTGGTAAAAAGTGATATTTTCGACTTCTTGTTAAAAACCGCAAGTGCAATTGCTTTGATACTACATATATAGATACTACATGTAGACCTTTCTCAGATTTGCTCATTTTGTGATGATATCTTCAGTTCTCTAATTTTGGTGAATATTTTTGGTAAAAAGTGATATTTTCGACTTCTTGTTAAAAACTGCAAGTTCGATTGCTTTGATATTACATATATAGGTACTACATGTGGACCTCTCTCAGATTTGTCCATTTTGTGATGATATCTTCAATTCTCTAATTAATTTATTTTGGTGAATATTTTTGTAATTTTTGGTAAAAAGTGATATTTTCGACTTCTTGTTAAAAACTGTAAGTCCGATTGCTTTGATACTATTCATATTGTTCATTTCTAATGATGTCCTCAGTTCTTTAATTGAAATGTGCATTGCTACAGCGGAGCTATCTTATTGAGCTTGTTATGATTAGACATGAAAGAAAAGTGCCAAGCTGACAGACTGCAAAATCCGTGGATTAAAAGTGCTAAGTCCAAATTGTGTGGGACGATATCGACGAACTTCAGGAATAAGTTGTAGGGATTTTGTTCGACGGCTACAGTGACGCCGACTTTGACTTTGAGGGTTTTGAGTTTGACGAAGATGGCAATGAACGTACAAATAAAGATCTGAGAAGTTTTTTTTCAAATAGCTATGAATTTTTATAATTTTTACTGTGTAAATTTGTAAATTATTATTGATCTTGTATGACGGTTGATGCGTAATTTGTCGAGACCGGAAAGCATTTCACGCAGTTTAACCCCTGACATTTTAATTCATTTTGAGTTCACGCGTGTTTGTCGGCGGGAAAATCCGAATTCAAATGATTCCTCACTGTGTATTTTTATTATTTCTGGTTTATTTGTCACATTATAAACAATACATTATTTTTGTTCTATTTCTAGTGTTGCATATTGTTCATTTATTTCCGTTGCATGTTTTCATTTGCCGTTCTATTCCCTGCCGCAGTTCGATCGAACTGCGTGTTGTCAATTTTCAAGAATTTTCTTTTTTTTTGCCGGGGATCTCCTAGCAAACGCCCACCCCTTCTTTTGGGCAATTTTCCATGTTCAAGACCCTGGGCTTATACCCGGATAAATACGGTACCAGTTCAAACAAAAATAAACACTCATTTAAGAACACTGAACCACTGGTATTTTTGTGCTTTTTAACAAATCAACACTATTCAATATAAATTAAAAAGGCTTTACTTTCAGTGTGGGTTCTTAAGAATTACAGTGACTTTCACAGCAAAATGTGTGGCTGTGATTTGGCTCGAAGTATAGCCACTGTATACTATAGGTCAGGATTGACATTTTGAAATGATTGAACTTTGAAATGGAAACATCGACATCGGCTTGAAACAACAACAAAACGTAAAAATAATAATGATAACAATGGTGCGAGGACCTCAAGTGTCACATGACACAAAACTCAAGTTGTGATAGATCGGTTCTAAACCAATCACTGATCGCGGTAATAACGTCATAGGTCAAATACAATTTGTTTGATATAATAGAAATACGAATAATCTAAACTAAACATCAAAGCTATTGCTGCACAGAAATAATGCAAATGGAATAATTATTATAGAAAACATTTTCATGTCTAACTAGACAATTTAACTCAATTAACAAACACACCTATGATTTGCATCTCGCCCCGACAAAATGCATCGTCACAAACTCTCAGTCAAAACAGTTATTGTAATTCATAATTCAGTGTGGTTGTCTTTCCAAACTATTTAGTTTTGCCTGATATGATCTCACATTGCAGCCTGAGATATGCAAGGCGCATACTAAAAATAAAGATGTATGTACATACATTATTGGTAAAAAGTACGAGACTAGAGCAAGAAACAGACACTTTTTTGCAGTTTGACAAGACTTGATATTATTCTCACCGACGTCAATTTTAATATTTTCACCGATGCAAATTGCATCATTACCAAGAATATAAATGTTCACCAATTTGGGGGGCGAGATTTCAAATTTCCACTGTTTACATTGACAAGAATCCACGATCTCATTTCTGCAACAAATTCTCTCAATATATTGATCGAGGCGAATCCAAAAATTCACTTCTGTAGCCTCGTTATAACAAACTCTTTGGGGGGGGACATACAATTAGTTTGTTATAGTGAAATGTTCACTATAATGAAGCACATACTGTTAAAGTCCTAATATAAACCGCATACGTAATAGTAACCGCACCCCCAATTCCGGCTTCAGGGTTGAAGAGTTCTTAACAAAAATTGAAAACTTGAAAAGTACCTATTACTAACCGCACCCCCAA